CTCTAGTCCGGCTTCCACAACGCCGGGCATCTTGAGCTAGCGATAGGGCGCTCCATCCCTTCCAGGATGGGGACCGTCGCCTTTACGACGAATGACCTCTCACTTCCGTCATCCTCAGATCATGGCAGACCCCTCGGTCTCAACGTGATCACCTACATCAAGACCGGCTCCTCAGCACCGAAGTCTTTTTTTAGCGATTGGGCTAGCCACCCCTTCCTGGATGGTGACCATCGCCTCTATATGACGATCGGCTTCATCACTCCCGTCGTCCTCAGGTCACGAACGGCCCCTCGGTCCCGCGTGATTCCTTATCTCAAGACCGATCTTAGCCATTCCTTTACCGGATGGAGACCGTTGCATGGATTATCAGACCAGCCCCTCAGTGTCGTCGTCTTCATATAACGACCGGCCCCTCGGCCTTGGCGTGATTATTTATCTCAAGACCGGCTCCCAACGCCAAAGTATTGTTATAGCGACCGAGCTCGCAAATCCCCTCCTAGATAGTGACCGTCGCCTTCATATGACGCACGGCTCATCACCACCGCCTCGTCCTCATATTCAGACAGATGTCCACCACCTCATCCTCGTGTTCAGACAGGCCTCCATCGCCTCGTCCTCATATTCGGATCGCCTCATCGCCTCGTCCTCATCATCAGACGGGCGTCCCCTCAGCAGACGGACACCGCTCCACTCCATTCACATCGTATCGGCCCCTTAGAGCGAAACACTCAGGTATGGCCGACGATGTCCCAGGCCGAAGGGTTCACCCCTTTTACTACATTTTGAGGGCATCCGGTGTAATATTTTTTCCCTCATTAGGATTTTTTCCCACAAGGTTTTTCCTAATGAGGTTTTTAACGAGGCACCTCCCCATTGTGGACAAAAAGGTGTCGACCCTCGGCCTCCTATTGAAGACCTACTCCTCTTCACCTCATGTGCTTCAAGGAGTGGGGGACTGAGGGACTGCATCGGCATTCACATATTAGAAGACGCCTTCGGCAACAACACATCGTCCTCAATAAAAGGGACGTTCGTCGTCCACAAGGACGAAGGATCCATAACAGCTCAGAAAGAAGCAACAAGCATCAACCACTATACAAAACCCATGGATGATAACCCCTGACCCGCGACCTTCGTCCGAGGGTTCTCCCACAGGGTTACCTTGGTCAGGGATTCTTCCACATCAGAATCGATCTCATCCTCCTGGGTCAAGCCTAATTCCGCCCGCTTCTTCTCAACATTTGCGTTATACTTCGTCTACATGTTCAAAAATTATTGAAATGATATTTACTTCGATTTGAAAAAATAAAATTGATGTTACGTACTTCGATTTCAGCAAGGCGGGGTGGCAGATCGGCTTCCGACTCATCACCGTTCTTCGTCCAACAGTGTTTGATGACCTTGAGGATAGAGACTCTCTTCTTCTGAGGCCCCGCCTACATGGTTCGAAAAAGGCTTAAAATCCATAAATAACTGAAAAAATGAAGGGTTAAAATGGTGTAAGGTTTATTTGTATAAGACTTAAAAGAGCTTCCTTATGTTTACTCTGAGGTTTGCGGCCCCCGTGTCATTGTGTCGTTAATGCCTTCTCAGACATCCGATTTTTCTTCCCGGCTTCGCTTCTAGCCAAGAAGGTCGGATCCGAAGACCAGTGGCGAACGAGGTTTTCCCACACCTCATCCGAACACCATTGAGGCCTTACCCCACTGGCCCGGGCACACTTAAAAGTGGGACGAAGCCAGTTTGAAATTCTGGCGTTATACGCCCTTAGAATAGCGGGGCCTTGTTCTTCAGTCCAGCGAAACCGGCCCTTTATTAAAAAAAATAAATTAATTTATCATTTGTCAAATTTTAGGTCACTACAATGACGCAAGGAACATTCATTTTTTTACCTTGAACAGGTTCCACCAAAGTTCACGGACCTTGGGGTCAACATCCGTGTACGTAGCCCAGTTGCCAAGAAAGTGTCCACCAATTATGATTTTGATTTGGTCCAGCACTTGATCGCTTCAAAAAGTTAATGATATTTTTTTTATCCGTTTTTGTTAGATTATTTGACATTAGATAGAATTATTTGACATTAGTTAAAGTTCATAGTTACTTACTTAGCAACCAGGTGAAGTGTCACTCAATCCGAATTTTCATTGTTGCGCTCTGCTTCTTGTTAAGGGCGCATAGCTCGGGCGGGCACGCGAGGTTGATTGTTCATTGCTCATCTAAAATAATTGATTAATAGGGACGGAGGGAGTATTAATTTACATTTTCAAATAATGGTGTAAATATAATAGAAGATCAAATTTTGGTTGAAATTTTAAATAAGTTTTCATACTTTAATTTTATAAAAACCAGTTTTATATAAAAAACAATTTTATATAAAAACAGTTTTATATAAAAACAGTTTTCTAAAAAGAGTTTTCTAAAAACAGTTTTATAAAAACAGTTTTATATAAAAACAGTTTTTTATAAAAACAGTTTTATATAAAAACAATTTTATATAAAAACAGTTTTTTGTATAAAATCAAATTTTGTATTTATTCATATGCCACTTTACTAAACTTTATACAAAATCATATTTTATACATTCTATAAAAACTGTTTTTTTATTGAAACAGTTAATAAAAAAAACAGTGTTTTTTTAAAACAGTTAATTAAAATAGTTAAAACAGTTTTTTTATTAAACAGTGTTTAATAGACTGTTTTTTTAAACAGTTTTTTTAATAATCTAATATTTTATATTCAATTTCAGAAAACAATTTTTAATGTCTAACTTAATATTTTATAATTAACATGTTAAACTTTTTTGGAAGTTTGACATGAGGGGGTATTTTTTTAATTAATTCGGGAAAACGTTTTAACTAAAACAGTTAAAACAGTTTTTATATTAAAACAGTGTTTTTTTTTATAATCTAATATTCTATATTAAATTTGAGAAAACAATTTTTAATGTCTAACTTAATATTTTATAATTAACATGTTAAACTTTTTTGGAAGTTTGACATGAGGGGGTATTTTTTAAATTAATTCGGGAAAACTTTTTAATTAAAACAGTTAAAACATTTTTTTTATTAAACAGTGTTTTTTTATAATCTATATTTTATATTAAATTTGCGAAAACAGTTTTTAATGTCTAACTTAATATTTTATAATTAACATGTTAAACTTTTTTGGAAGTTTGACATGAGGGGGTATTTCTTTAATTAATCCGGGAATATAATATAAACTATATCTATTCAAAAATAATATTGATGCATATAATGTAACACATAAGTCCGAAATAAAAAATAAAAAAAGTTTGAATAATCATGCATGTTGTTTAACCTACAATTAAATCTTATTTAGGCATACATATTAATTAAACTTATACACAACAAATATATTCATGCCAATTAAACATATAAACTAAATCATGTTATATTGAGCATATAAAACATGTAATAAACTGAATTATATTAACATGTATTTCGAAAAACATGTGTCAAATAACATGTATACAAAACTGAATTTAATAACATGTATACAAAACACATGTATTTCGAAAACTGAATTATATTAACATGTATTTCGAAAATTAAAGAAATATTATAAACTAAATTAAATCATATTTCGAAATCATATTACTACACAAAACATGTATACAAAATTAAAGAATCATGCATTAACATCTTGTTGATAATTTTCGACAATTATAAAAACAGTGTTTAATAACATGTATACAAAACATGTATTTCGAAAACTGAATTATATTAACATGTATTTCGAAAATTAAAGAAATATTATAAACTAAATTAAATCACATTTCGAAATCATATTACTACACAAAACATGTATACAAAACTAAAGAATCATGCATAAATCAAATTGAGCATATTAACTAAATCATATTACACATGTATAAATACACAAAACCGAAAATTAAAATACATAAAACTTGTTGATAATTTCGACAATTATATAAAACTAAAATCATGTATATAATCATGCATTTGAGTGTATTTCAACAAAAGAGCATGCACTTTAATAATGCGAACACACTTATAATAACATGCATTTTTGGAATAAAAATCAAATACTAAAAATAAGAATTAACGGTGCCAGCGGACGGTGGAAGGCGGCGTTGGAGGTCGAGGTCGGCGGACAGAGAGAAGTAAAGGGAGAAGGAGAGTTTTAGGATTTGGGAGAACGTTTGGAATGAAAAAATTGCTAAGTGTTTAATTTATATAAGGTCGTAGTCACGGACGTAGTCACAGATAAATCCGTGACTAGCCGTCGTAATTAACGAAGTCAGACACGCGAAAGACGAGGTGTCACGGCCGCCTTTGACCGCCCTAGTCACGAACGAATCCGTGACTAGGGCCGTGACTAATTCAAAATTTTGAATTAGTCACGGCCCTAGTCACGGATCCGTCCGTGACTAATGTTTTCCAGTCGTTTTGTCAGCTCCTCGGGCAGGCCGACGACAGTGGAATAAATTCAAGGGAAAAAATTCGATTTTTTGGTATAAATAAGTGATGTCCGGTCTAATGTTTGTGTGGAAAATAAAATGGCTAATCGAGAACCAATTGACTGGGATTCGATGTGTAGAGCTATGAAACGACTCAAACTAATTACACAACTTATGGAGCCGAAAACCGTTGAAGCATATCATAGAATCAAGGAGTTGATGGCTAGACTCATTGAAAGTTTTGGCGACTATAAAGATGAGGAATCCGACTCACTCGGCAAGTCAAAAGCAAACAACTTGTGTCAGATGCTTCAACGTGCAGAAGAATGTTCGGAGTATATGGACCCGATCAACGAAGAAGCTGAAAGGAAAATTAACGAGTTGTGGGCTAGGCCTCTTGAAAGTTTTGATATTGATGAATAATTTTGTATTTGTTTGTTTGCTTATTATGATAAATGAATAATGTTTCGTTAGTTGATTGTGATAAAAAAATTGTGTGTTGCGTACTTATCTTTTAATAATAATGAAGAAAAAAATCAAATATTGTATGACTAATATAATGATGAAGAAATGAGCACAAATATTCAAACTCAAAAAAATTGTAATTACAACAACACAATTAGTCACTATCAGAATCGTTATTTTCTACTTTTTTTTTGGAGAAAAGAGGGATTTTATTGAAAAGGAAAAGTAAACACTACAGAGAAAGAGAAATGAAAAAAGAAAATAAAAGAAAGAAAATAAAACCATACAGAGAAAGTAAAAACTAAAACTACACCCAAGGAAATTCTCTGGCCTGAGACCTAGTAGTCATGTTGTGTCGCCTTTTATTTTTCTGGGATTTCCTGTAGATTTTGATCTGCGTGTTTAAGTTTTCCGTCGGCAAGCAATTTTCTGAGGTGACAAACTTGGATTTCCTGCAGATCGCCCTGTTGAATTTTGATTTCTTAATTTCTTCTGGAGTTGAGATAGGGGGACGACGCTCGCTTTCAGTGGCATGTCCCAGAAAGTCGTCCGTGAAACCAGAATCATCTGATTGGTAAAAAGTATTGGATGCGTCCGAGTACGCCTGGACAGGCAAGGGCCGCTCTACTGGAGCAGGAGAATTTTGTTTCTCTGAGTATGCTTCTCGAATTTGGGATTCAAAAATAAGTTTAGATATAGATTTTGGCTCCTCTGTAAGAATCATGGTTTCTTGTAGCATATCCATTACTGTCTCCTGCACTAAATTACTCAGTCCAACAAAATTTGATAATATAGTCATGAAAATAATTAAATTGGAATTGTCTGGGCCCATGGGGATTATAATGAAGCTGCCCTTTTCCTTAGCAATCTTCAGATACCACCCTGAATTGTTTCAATTAGAGGAGACCGTTATAGGACCAAATCTTCTGTTTTCCCTAAAATTATCTGATCGGGAGAGATGGTTTATAAATGTGAAGATCTCGGGCGCTTGCTCTTTTTTGAAATTAATCCTATGTAGTGAGGATTTTTTAATTTCAAATATGACCATATCAATTTTCGTGACAGCAAATCTAAAGGTCTTTGATTCAAATTTGATAGAATCAAAACCTTCCTCTCCAAAAATTGGAATTTTTCTGATACCTCGAATAAGTCATCGGGCATACTAATTTGAGCCGGATCAGTACATGCCTTGCTTATTTCTGAGAGGTGATTTTTTTGTCCGAATTGGACTTTACCACGTCTGCCCATGTGAGCGCTTGGATGGAGCCTGACCTTTTTGTCTCCTCTCTGTACAGGTTGTCGGAGGTGGGTCTCTCAGCTGCAGTGCTTGGCGCAGAGCAGGATGGGGCGTCTGCCATGGATTTCTCGCGTCTGCTACCTCCGCCATGTTCTGGTGTCACTCCTTCGCAGAGATCAAGACGATTTCTTGAGCTTCCTCTCGCCTTGCTGTTTTGATTTTTCTTATTTCTCTGGTTGATGTCGAAATCAGACGACTTGTCTGATTCGGGTTCAGATTCGAATGGTTCGGTGGAGATAAGAATGTCATCTTCAAATCTCAGGCGTTGGTAACGATTGGCGTTACCCGCAGACCGATTTTTTTCTGGATGTAGGTGCTGGTATTTCGGGAATTGTTGATTAATCGGGAAGGGGTGGCGCCGTCCCCTGTAGATGACCCTGCGCCATCCGTCGGCTGTTTCCCCTGCTTGCGGCCGGTAGAGCGCCCTTGATTGCTGACGCTGATGCTCGAATAGGTTAGGCCTTGACTGTTGACGCTGATGCTCGGCAATATATCCGACTGGTGGTCTAAATTCAGCTGATGCGTAATGCCTTAGGAAATGAACAGGGTTCCGATACCTGCTATTTGGATAGAATCTGGCTCTATGCCATTTCTGATTTACCTGATTTGGTTGGGAGCGTGTACCTGCTGCTCTAGATGAGGTTGCTCCGTTCGTCAGCTTGCTATTTAAGGGCCTGGCCTGGGGTTGCGCATACCTTTTAGGTTGATGGTATATAGCTTCCTTGTTCCAGTCATTGATCACTGGTACGTAGTACCCGTCTTCATCAAGAAAGTAGTGATGATTCTGGCATGGTGGGTGCCAGAATTCCATAAGTAAATTCAAGACGCAGGATTCTTAGAGAGTGGGAGGGGATTCTCTCTCTTCACTTTTTTTTTTCGTTTTCACAATCGTTATTTTCTACATATACAACATCTTCTTCTGTATCAGAAACGTCTATCCATTCTCCTTCTTCCTGATATTGAACATTTTGTTGTTCTTCATGCATTTCAACAATTTCATTCTCATATGGAGGTGTTAGGTCCGGAAGGTGCGTTTCTGACATGACTTCAACACTTGCGCCATTTGGATCACTTAACTGAATGTGATGGTTGATCGTCTCAACAATCGGCGGAGGTTGGAAAAAATGTTGCTGTAAAGCATCTAAATCAACGTCCTTGTGTTGAGTTTGTGACACAATTTTGCTCGGACGGACAATACATGCACACACCCAAGGATTCTGTGTCCGCCCGCCTGGTTGAAGGGTATTCTGCATAATAAACCTGGGCTGCTTGTTGAGGGAGTATAAAAGGCTCATTTTTCCTATACACGCGAGAGTAGTTGACGTCAATCATATCATACTTTGAATTTTTTCTCACACCACGTGTTGGATCGACCCATTTGCAGCAGAACAAAACGCATGTCAAATTTTTCCCAGCAGAAGGCATTTCCAATTCGAGAATCTCATGCAAGACACCCAAAAATTTGGTTTCCGAGTTATCATAACCGATGATTGGAACACATAACCCGATGTTCACTGTTGGTTGGCCCTGTCCGTAATCGACTGTGTGATATGTGTAACCGTTTATCACATATGACCGCCAAACTTTGACGTAGGCACCAGGGCCCCATGATAATGATACTCACAAAGGGTCCACAATCCCACGGTTATTGATCTGTAAATTAAAACACGATAACATTGGGTAATTATTGAAAATTATTACTTAATAATGTATATAATTAATATGTGTGTACGTGTATATACCTGCTACTTGTACCACAGTATAAAATGAGAGCCCACCATTGCATCAATTTCATTATCAGGGAATGCTGAGTACTCCGCTCTAAATTCACTGTGAAGTCAAACATGAAAATATTATAAATCAACTACCTTAATTGTATATATATTACAAATATAACTACAAATTTAACTTACTGATAAAACAGTAAGATTTCTGGACAATTAATGAGCAAATAAGTATGCGCAATTTGTAATTCTTTTCCCACGATGTATCAGTTTTTCGCAGCTCCTTTACCTCTACCTGGGTAATTGAAAATGGAAACTACATTTTCGTATAAATCCTCGCCAATGTCATCATTCCGGGCAGGTCTCTTTCTTCTAGTGATGACTTCACGCTCAAAATAAAAAGATGAGAACGTTGAGATTTCTTGTTGAACATACGTTTGACAAATTGAAGCCTCAACGTGTGCCTTGTTGGTCACTTTCTTTTTCAACTCTCCAAGAAATCTGCAATGTAAAATAAAAGTGGTACACAGATTAATGTTGTTATGAAATAAATATTCAAAGATAAATGAAATTGTGACTAACCTTTCAAATCTGTACATCCAGCGATAGAAGACGGGCCCACCATTCAAATCCTCATACGGAAGATGTATTACAAGATGTTCCATTCCATAAAAAAATGATGGAGGCATTATCTTTTCCAAATTACACATCAGCATGGGAACAAATTCTTCTAGTCTCAGGATGGATGCTGCATCCAAAACGCTTGAGCATATCGACTGAAACAACAAACTGATCTCAGTAATGTAGGACCATACGTGTTCAGGAAACATCTCTTTCAGTGCAATTGGGAGAAGTATTTGCATGATTACATGAGCATCGTGAGTTTTCATGCTCGACGTCGTTGCAAGTTTGTTCATGTCCACGCATCTGGACAAGTTGGAGCAGTAGCCATCTAGAATTTTCAGAGACATAAGCCATTGTAATATTGATTCCTTTTGTGCTTCTGTGACTTGGTAGACTGCTTTTGGAATATTGTTATCCTGATATTCTAGATCAACAGAAAGTTCGGGTCTGTCACACCAAATAGTCATATCTTTTCGAGATGCAAGACCGTCTTTAGTTTTGCCTTTGAAATCCATCACTGTGTTAAATATATTGTCAAATACGTTCTTCTCAGTGTGCATGACATCTATATCGTGACGAATGAGAAGGTCTTTCCAATATGGTAACTCCCAAAATATACTCCTCTTTGTCCACTTATGGGTATCACAAAACCCATATGGCTTCTTATTTGGTTCTTGCACAACCGTAAAAATACGTCGAACCCGGTTAAAAATTGCTTCCCCGGTCAATCTCGGGGGCGGGGTGTCTCGTACCACTCTACCTCTAATGAAAGACTTTTTGTCCTTTCGATATCGATGGTTTTCCACGAGAAACTTGCGGTGACAATCAAAGTAGCTTGGTTTTTTACTGAAAGTTAGCCAATTGGCACCTGATTTCTCCATGCATATCAGACATCCCATAAGACCGTGTGTGCTCCACCCCGAAAGCATGTCATAGGCAGGGAAGTCGCTAATGGTCCAAATGATGACACCTTTCATGATAAAATTTTGATCCCTTGAAACATCACAAGTTGGTGTCCCAATGGCCCAAAGTTCTTTCATCTCCTCGATAAGGGGTTTGAGATAAATGTCTATCTTTAGTTAAATACAACTTAATTAACCTTGTGTTTAAATTACACCTACGTTTAACTAATTTTAAGGAATTTATTTCGTTAATTAATTAACAACCTTTTTTCTAAATGCATTTATTTAAATTTAACTAATATTAACAAAAGTTTAACTAATTTAGCTAATTAATTAATTTAACTTAATGCGTCACTACGATTAAACCTACGTTTAAGTAACTATTTTTTCACTAAATTAAATGAAATTGACATATAATTCGTTACTTAATTAATAATCTCTCTAATTTAACAGTTTATTACACTTAAAATGAACCAACTAATCCATACAAAAAAATACGTAATTCAAATTACATACATTATCTGCATAAACAGGGAAAATGATAATAGTGAGAATGATTCATGAAATTTCATTACCGAATGTCCTATAAATAGTGAGTTATTATGGTTTACAAGAACAGGTCAATAGGCCCATGATACATAGTTTATTTACATCAGATGCTCCTAATACATATTCTATATACACGATAGCACATTACATAGAGTTTTCTTCAACACCCCCTTATTTTGAGAATATTAACCGAAATAGGCCTAAAACAGTTTGAAAATTCCCAAATAGGAGTGACATGTTTTTATTTCTAAAATAGGACTAATTACTGCTACGTTTTAACAGTACCAGACTTCAAAATGACAATATTTTCTAAACATGACAGTAATTAATCCTATTTTGATATTAAAAAACATGACAATTCTATTTTGTAATTTTCAAACTATTTAGTACTATTTAGGGAAATTTCTCCCTATTTTTACACGGAGTAATGAAATATAAAACACAAATGCTATTGTCACCCCAATTTGTACCTCATTTTGTACCCTCTTATATTTGTGATTCAAAAAAATTTCATTAAAATAGAGTAATTGATTTAATGTGTTGGAAATTTATGAACCACAAATAAATATAGGAAGGGGTAGGTATCAAATGGGGTACCTCTGGCGAAGCTCATATTAAAAACAGAAAAGTCTCCAATATAGCTGCTCGTGTCATCATTCTAGAAGGAAGGATAAACACTCGAATGTCGCTGCTCGTGTCATTCTTTTCCTCAATCGTCCAAAATAGAACAGATCCCTAATCTTCTTGAGCCACGAAACGCTAATTCTTTCGCGATCATAACTGTTTTTAACTTTCACTTGTTGATCGCCACTTCCCTCTCTACTTTCGATCGATTTTGTTTTTTGTTACATTAATTTTCGTCATATTGTTCGTTCCATCAAGGTGTCTGTAATCTCGTGTGCATAGAGGAGAGCGAGAATAGCTGGAGTTGTGATAAATTTGTTATGGCTTGAGAGTATGAGAATTGGACGATGAACGATGCCAGTGCTGCGTGGTGGAGCGCGCAGAGGCCGGAGACCGAAACTGCAGCCACAGCCAAATACTGACAATAATAATACTAATAACAATAACGCCAACTATAATAATATCAACGACTATCAGAGTCCGATTCAAGGAGAGGCGATTGCTGCAAGGACCAGGAGGAGGAGAGCGGCAGCGGCGGCATGGCCGGTGGTACTTACTGTTGATGAGAACGTAGGTTCGGTGCCACCTGCAGCTGCTGTGCCGGCGCCGTCTGAGGGCAGAGCCGTAGAGTGGGAGGTTGAGGAGGAAGCTATTCGAATTGAGCGGAGAGAACAGGGTGCTGATAAGTACATGGATAAAAATGATAGTGGCGCTAAGAGCCCTGAAAGGGCCCCTGCTGACGACGATGATGGAAGTGCGGCTCCGCTTCCTGAAAAAGTAAGTTTTTTTTCTTTTCTTTTTCCCTCCCGCGTCATACTTTTAAAAAAAGTTAGCGTTTGTATGTGTTTTCACTTGCATGTTTCTATATCTTTTTCTTTTCCATGATGGCGCATATGCTTTTCTATTTTTGATTGGATGATGGATTGATTCAAACCATTTTCCATACATTATAAAGATGCATTTGTTTTCCAATTCAAGGCTAGACAAATTTTCCAGTTTTTCTGAGTGACATTTTCAATAACAGTGATATGGCAAAGTTAAAATCACTGCACATTCTCCCCTCAAGTGAATGAATGAAGCCTCACCATCATCAAATGGTCTTATTAATCATATTATTTCGTGAACCACCTCCAAAACTTGCCCTACGTGTATCATTACTCCATTCTCAGTGCTGAATCAGAGGATGTTTAATAATAAATAGACTCCTGAATCCTAAAATGTTTCGAATGATCAACTGGTTGGAGGGTGAGATGCTAGATTAGAGTCACTGAGGTTTACTAGTCTACTGAAGTTGACCGTTTGTAGTGAATTCTGAATTGGCTTGGATTTGGGAAAAAGTAGTTCAAATCTCGTAGGATTTGGAAAGGGGAATACTTCTTTCACCTTTTTTAGTATCTTATGAGTTATGGAGATTTAACAAAGATAATACGTAGTATTAGTTATTGTCTTATTGACAGCCCCTTTGAACATAATTTGTTTTATAAAAGTTGAATAAAATACGCATTTTTAGCAGTCCAGTTATTCATGTAATTCAGGATGCCTTGAGATGTACCTGAGGTTTTTTAGTTTGCAACAGGTTCAAGTTGGTGGTTCACCATTATACAAGATAGAAAGAAAGCTTGGAAAAGGAGGCTTTGGACAAGTCTACGTTGGTCGTCGTATCTCTGGTGGTAGTGCCATTGAAAGTAGTGGTCCAGGAGCTGTAGAAGTATATATCGTGTCACTCTTACATATTGAGTAATAGATTATATTTCTGCGTTCCATGTTTTGGGATGAGCAATGCTTATATTAATTCTTGTCTTCTGCTGCTACAGGTGGCTTTAAAATTTGAGCACAGGAACAGCAAAGGATGCAACTATGGACCACCATATGAATGGCAAGTTTACAAGTAAGTCAAATAATCTCCATGCTGTGATAAGTTGGCAATCTGCTTTTCGCTGTGTTGAAACATTCTTTACATGTCTTTGACTTTGTAGCACACTTGGTGGAAGTCATGGTGTACCACGAGTGCACTATAAGGGCCAACAAGGTGACTATTATGTAATGGTGCGTCTTTAGAACGACTTTTCCCTTCCTTAATACGAAGTACTACACATGGTGTGGATATAGTTTGCAGTAATGTGAATTATGTGTGGTATTTTTCACATTTATCCTGCTTTAGTTTGTTACAAGTCAAAATCTAAGTTTTAAATTGTGTAGGTGATGGATATGCTTGGGCCAAGTTTATGGGATGTTTGGAATAATAATTCTCACGCGTAAGTACAATCACACTGATGAATATTTCCATCTTTGCTGTACCGTGTAATTTCTTAATGTCAAAAATATTGTACAGAATGTCGATTGAAATGGTAGCCTGCATTGCTATT